GGTGACCCATCTCACTGAGGGTCTTCCTCTTTTTTTCTGACCTTCTGCCTTTTCCAGCATGATGATTTTTTCCAAGAACAGGCTCTCCCTGGCAACATGTCCAGTGTGCGTGTGATCTGCCGCATGGCAGGAGAGGGGTGTTAAGTCTTTTCCTCAAACACCACCCCATTGCCAGTGTATTTCCTATTGAGTCTTTGGAGTTCAGTGCTGTGGTCTGGTGAGAGACCAGCAATAACCTTCTATGAGGTACAATAAACACCCGACTCCCAGATGTCTAGTGGTGCATGTCAAATTAGTGAGTATTTGATAACTGTCTGGGGCTAAATAAAAAACAAGATGGCCCACCACCTCCTTCTCCTCCATCTCCTGGGAACAGGCTGCAAGGGAAAAACTTGGGATGTTCCCTCTATGGGAGCTTAGAGTCTGCTGACAAAACTCCTCTCTCCCGTTCCTGAAGAGCCTCTTTGCACACCGCCAGCACCGTGGCCAATGTAGTTCTCAGGAATAAAGGTGCTTGTATTTGGAATGTCATGTTCACGGATCATATTGAGAAGCATGGGAAGACTCATCAGTGTTTGCCTTTCACAAGTGGATGTGACTTTGACAGCGGAGTTGTGCTAGTCTTCTGATTGGAGTGCATCAGGACAGTCTGGGATGACAAGACCAGTTGGAGGATGAGAGGCTTCAGTGTTGTTGGGGTGAGAAGCGGGTCACGCCGGTGTTAAGGAGACAGTATCCTTAGCCACAGTAACCACACGGTCTTTGTTCCTCTGGAATGCCTGGGATCCGGGCCAGTTCATCTGTCACATGGTTGAGGAGTGGTCACAGGAAAGCTGGTCTCACCAGTGTGGGAACAGGGAAGGCAATGTCCACCAGACTTTACCCCAACTCTCTTATTCTTGGATGGTTTTCATATTGACAAGAATCGTAGGCAGCACCCCGCCTTACCCACATTCCTGCAAACTTTGCAAATATTGAAAGAAACACCCGTTCCTGTTCCATTACCGTCAAATTTGTCAATACGGCCACCTGGCTTTTAGCAGGGTGCCCTGGCACCGACTGGCCCTGGGGCACTGACTGGCCCCGGGGCACCGGCCTTTAGCAGACTGGTGCCAGGTCAAATTGTCTTTTGGTGAGTTGATCTTGGCTGTACTTGACTCATTCAAAAGAGGAAAAAAAGAATCTTTTTGAGACATGACCATGTTTTTCTTTGTTTCATCATTTCTCTCCCAATAACTTTTCCTCTTGAGAAGGGCGTCATGATTGGAAAAGTAGAGGACCAGTCAAAAAGAGGGAGGTTCTTGACAAGAGGGGTCGGCCCAGAGAATGGCCTTAAACAGAGCAACAACGACGCGTGGCACAGGGGCTGACAATGTCTTGCTCTATTTTACATACAACACCTGTTGGTAATGATGGTAACAACATCCCACCACTAACAGCACTGCTCTATCAGTAACCTGAGCTGACCTGTCCATTTGGCATCTCTTTTGGAGAGTATCAAACATAAAAGACTGTCATCCAAGCTATTCCTGAGGTTAGGTTGGTGACTTTCACCCACTTGGTTGTCCCTCAAGGACAGTTTCCTCCAGCCAGGCCATGGTTGACTCAAGTGGTGATGGTTGTCATGTGTCATCAAGTTATCTGAGACTCATAGCAACATTATGCACAATAGCTCTGAGTCCTGCCCTGTCCCGAGCCAATCTCACTGTCTCTGACACACCTGCCCTATGACTCCAGTCACTGTGTCAGTCCTACTCTTCCAGGGTCGTCTTCTGTACTGTTCCTCTGCCCTTCCAAGCATGATTTCCTTCTCCAAGGACTGGTCCCTCCTGGCAACATGCCCAAAGTATGTGAGATGGACCTTCAAAATCATTGCCTCCAGGAGCAACTTGGTTTCATCCTCACCAGGACAAATCTGTTTTGGTCTACTGGAGTCCACGGTATGTTCAATACCCTTTTACAGCACCACAACTCAAAAGCATCAGTTCTCCTGTCATCCTTACTCACTGACTAACTCTGACACAAAGCAAGTAATTGCAAAGGGTATGGCCTGGATCAAGCACACCTTAGTCTCTAGACTGACATCTTTGCTCTTCAGCACTCAGGAGAGGTCAAACTTTCCTAATCCAATTTGTCTTTTGATTTCTTGGCTGCTTGTGCCAAGAGACCTGATTATGGAACCAGACATGCTGAAATTGTTAATCTCCATCTATCATGGTGCTGCCAGTTGGTCCAGTGATGAGAATCTTTCTTTTCTTGATGATGTGCTTCAATCCATATTGAAGACTACAGTCGTTGACTTTCTGCAGCAGATGCTTTAGGACCTCCTCAGTTTTGGCAAGTAAGGTTGTATCATCTCCATAATGTAAGTTGTTGATGAGTCTTCTTACAATTCTGATGCCACATTCCTTCTCACAAAGATGATCTGTTCTTCAATGATCTTCAGTGATCTGTTCTGCATATAGATTGAAAAGGTATGGAGACAGGATGCGTCTCTGACACACTCCTTTTCTAATTTTGAACCATGCAGTGTTCCTTGCCCTGTTTTGAAGACTGCTTCCTGGTCCAAGTATAGGCTTCACATGAGCAGAATTAGGAGTTCTGGGATTCCCATTCTCTCAAGGTTAGCCACAATTTGTTGTGATACACATAGGCAAATGCTTTTGCATAGTCAATGAAACACAGAAAGACATTTCACTGGTAACCTCTGCTTTCAGCCAAGATCCACCTGACATTGATGATAATGCCTCTAGTGCCGTGATCTCTTTTAAACCTAGCTTATATTCCTGGTTTTATTTTCCCTCCCCCTTTTTTTCTTGTAGTGTACTGTCAAGTTGGATCTGACGGGCACAGGAAGAGATTGGCCCTCCTTCTCCAGCAGAGAATCTGGTGGATTCGAACTGCATGCCTTTGGAATTGCAGTGCAGCTTCTTGTCACTAGGCCACCAGAGCTCCCTTAGCTTGTATTTCTGATAGTTCTCTGTTGATGTTCTAGTTGTTTTTTTAATAATCTTCGGCAAGATTTGCTTGTGTGTGATATTATTGATATTGTTCAATAATTTACGTACTCTGTTGGGTCACTTTTTTTTTTAAGAGAATAAATATAGATCTCTTCCAGTCAGTTGGCCAGAATTCTTGGCACAACCAGGTGAGCACGTCCAGGGCAGAACTATTTGATTGCTATGGACTCATAGATTAAGTAAATAAAAAGTTAGGCTCGGACTCCTGCTGTCAAGTTAGAACTGACTCACAGCTCACCCCCCGCCAGCTTTCTGAGGTTGATAATCACATGAGAGGAGCTTGCCCATCTTTCTCTTGCAGAGTGGCTGGTGGTTTCGAACAGCCAGCGAGGTATGACCTTTGGGTTAGCAGGGTGACGCTCATAGATCACACTCCCAGCGCTTCCTAGTAAGTAAACAGAGCCCCAAAGAGCTTCAGGAAAAGCAGAAAGAACGTGTCACAGGAAAGGGATGATAATTTGTACTGGAATTCAATACATACATAAATTGACACTGAAAACTCTTTAGGAAGAAGAACATTTAAAAACCATGTTCAGTTTCACAATAGACTCTAGATTTACAGAGTCAAATGTGGCATCAAGAATCCAGAGTTTTTATAAAACACTCTTTTCAACCCATTCCTTTCTAAGTCTCCAACACTGTCCAATCAGGGCAGAGCTTGACTTGAAGGCATTCATCAGAGTCTTTCCCATGACCCCATGCCTCGCCACCTTGGTCCCTCAAGTCAGGACACGTGTGTAAAGCCTGCCCACAGGTGCTGGAGGCTCCAACTTATGTTTAATTGAACAGTGAATCAGAATCAAAACCACTAAGAGTACAAGGAATCTTTCACTAAAGACCTTCCTCTGCTTATCTGACTCCACTTACGGAATGAAACTAGAACTATATGTATACGGTAAGAACCAATCATCGGCGTGCTAGTGACACTTCAGCAGTCTGGATTTAAAGCTTCCTGGGCGGGGAAAATGTTTTGTGCTCCACTGTGAACCTAAAGATTGGTGGTTCAAACCCAGCCACTTGCTCCATACAAGAAAAGACCTGGCTCCCCGCTTTTATTAAAATCACAGCCAAGAAAACACGGTAAAGCAGCTCTGACTTATAACACATGAGGCTGCCCCAAGATAGAACCAACTCAATGCAACTGACAGTGTTTGCGACTTGACACTGTTGCTGTTGTGACTACTTTAATAGCAATATCTCGTACCGCTCACTGCTTCATTCGTCCACTTATGCTCCAAGCTGCAATCTAGGGACTCAAAGCACAGAAATGAACATACGCACCCCACCCCCCAATCCAATTACAGAAGAGAGGAGCCAAAACAATGAAGTAAAATCCTGCTTTATCATTTAGGAACACTTCCTAAGAAGTATACCAGGTGCAGTAGCTAAGTAGGCTCCCAACAGATGTGCCCTTGTTCCTAATCCTTAGAACATCTAAATGTTACCTTGTTGTTGTTGTTATGTGCCGTCGAGTCATTTCCGACTCATAGCGACCCTATGCACAACAGCCCTAAACCCTGCTCTATCCTGCGTCAACCGCACCGCCTCTGACACACCCATCCCGATTACCCCAGTCACCGAATCAATCCATCTCATAGAGGGTCTTCCCCTCCTGCGCTGTCCCTCCACCCTCCCAAGCATGATGTCCCTCTCCAATGTTACCTTACATAGGAAAAAGTCTTTGGGGTATTATTAAGAGTCCTGAGCTGAAGAGATTTTCCTGTGCTATCCAGGTGGGCCAGGTTAGGATGTGATGTTACCTGAGAAGCCAGACCAAGTTGACGTGAAGTTACCAGGTGACAACTGAACGTTAGCGGGACTATGGGATTCCTCATTTTAGCTACGAGGGAACTAAAGTCAGAGAGCAGAGATTCCCAGAGTGTGGCTTCCTGTCCACTGTTCCTGGCCCCTGACGCCCGTGTTGAGCACCCCACAGTGGTGGACCCCCGGGAAGACCCCCACAGAGCAGACCACACTCACTGTAATCTTTCCTCTTCTTTTCTCCGAAGATCAAAGTCCCGCTGGATGACTTCCCAGATGTGCTTGGCCTCTGCATCAGTCAGCTTGGAAAGATCCAGTTTCTTCCCCATCTTGGCTTCTCGTCAGGGTCACACCTGGAATGTCATAGGATTATTAGGCTCAGCCCCGGGAAGCCACACTACAGAGAATTACCCTTTCCCAAGAAGTCTGTCTAGATCAGGCCTGAGTTATGATTTTTTAAACAGGTTAGGGATTTGGGGGACATGTGTAGGATTTTAAAAAGTGAGTCTGTGTGTAAAACTCCGACTCTCAACTTCTTTTTGGTGCCTTATCGTCTGAAACGCTGGCAGCACAGAAGGGGACAGTCCATTAGTAGCTCCGTCCACTTGTCCAACATGAAGTGAGTGCTAACGGTCTCAGTATCAGGTGGCATGCTTCTCTTGTTCTATCACTGCGTCTCAGCAAGCTGGGTCTGCACAACAGCCACCGCCATGAATGTAAGCGTGCTGGGACTGGGATGATGGAGCTGAGTGGGTAACATTCGTTCTGTTGCATGAGGTCTGCCCAAGTCAGACTCAAAGGCCGGGAACAACAATATCATTTTGCTGTGTGTCTGCTTTTGCCCCGAAAGGAGAGGCCAATTCTGGAAATGTGTTGTGGGAGAAACACTCCATCCCTTGAGTGAATAGGACAGGAAGGAGATCAAGTTCATGGTCAAACTGTGTGTCTCCCAGGGTCTGCCCCTCACAGATCACATTCCAGGGTGTGGTGCAGGACCTGTGTGACAGGCGATGACTGGAAGACTATTCACTAAGACACTACCACTTGGAAGGTTCTGTCCTGTGTGCTTGGGGGTGGGGATTGGGGAGAAGAATGTTCAAGTTCATGGGGGCAGGAGAGGAGGATTCAGAGTCCCCACGAGGTCATCCCAGCATAGTTCCTGGAAGAACAATGCCTCTGTATTTGCACCATGCACACGCAGGTCCACGGTGGGACAAAAGTGATATAAACAGGTAAGCACATCAGTAGATGAGCATTTTAATCATAAACTACCCAGGAATGCACAACTAAGCAGTGGACCCACTCAATGCATGGTGTCGTATGTGCTTTCTAGATGACCCGCTGGTCAGGAATGAACACCTCAGATGCCACGAACGTCTGCTTCTGGAGTTCACTATGCATGACCTCAATTAATGCCAGAGAGAGAAAGGAAAAAGCCAAACTTAAAAAACCAACATAAATGCACATCCAAAAACTTCTCCAACAGGGTAAAAAGGGAAGCCACAGACTGGGAAAAAGTATTTGGTAATGACATATCAGATAAGAGACTTATAGCCAGAATTTATAAAATACTTGAGCACCACAACAAGATAAAGGTAAATAATCCGATAGAAAAATGGGCACAGGATATAAACAGAAACTTCACCGAAGAAGACATTCAGATGGCTAACAAGCACATGAAGAAATGTTCAAAATCCCTAGCTCTAAGAGAGATGCAAATAAAAAAACTATGATATATCATCTCACCCCAATCTGAATAGCAAAATTTAACAGAACAGCAAGCAACAAATGTTGGTGAGGTTGTGGAGAAACTGGAACCCTTATTCACTGTGGGTAGGAGTGTAAAATGGTGCAACCACTGTGGAAGGTGGTATGGTGCTTTCTCAAAAAGTTGCAAATAGAGATACCATTCGACCCAGCAATTTCGCTACTGGGAATATATCCCAAAGAGACCATAACTGACATCCAGGCAGATATATGCACACCCAGGTTTATCGAGGCTTTGTTCACAATAGCAAGGAGTTGGAAACAAGTGCCCATTAACAAACAAATGGATAAAGAAGCTGTGGTATAGTCACACAATGGAATACTACGCTGCATTGAAAAACAAGGAACTCATGCAATATTACTCAAAATGGGTGCCCCTGGAGGACATTATGCTGAATGAAGTATTTCAGTCACAAAAGGACAAATACTGCATGGTGCCATTGTGGTAAAACAGGACTGACATCAGGGTTGGGGGGAGACTGAGAAAGATGGGTTTAATAATGTATACTGCATTGAAACAGATGAGGAAGAAAACTGTTTAAAAGGGATATGTGATTAGGTATTCTTGTCATGACAGGAGTCTAGAGCGAAGGCTACATGGTGGAGTGGACTTGGGGGAGGGTTTGTAAAACAATGAAAGAATTTTTGTATTACTTTTCCAAGAGGGAAGTGTACTAGGGGGGAAAGTGTAACAATGAATGAATGGAAATCCAAAGTCTCTGTAAATTTTTACCAAAATCAATAATAAATTTTTTTTTTAAAAAAAGGAAAAAAAAAACCCCAACATAAGCCTGGCTATTCAATGTGTGGTCCTTGGACAAACAGCATCACCTGGAGCTTGTGGGAAGCTCAGTTCCTGCCTCCCACTCACAATGGGTATTTTAGCAAGATTCCCTGGTGGTCCATGTGCACATTCAGGGCTTGTGGATCCTGCTGATTCTGGGACCCCTCTGGGGAGCTGAGCTCTAGTGGACACTCACTGAGTTTGGTGCGGGAGGAAAAAGTCACAGAGGGTGTAAATGTTCTTCACGTTGAGTGGTGGGTGTCAGAGAGCCTCAAGTCAGCCCCTTCTATGGTTCTTCCTACAGAGAAACCATATGCTGCTGCTGACCTACTCCTGGGTGTACAGTTAGAGGTGGTCCTGTACTGACACACAAATGTTCACAACTGGACCGATAAACACCACCATGGCAGGAGGAGAAAAGCTTGATGTTGCCAAGAATTTCACTTGGGTCAGCAGTCATATCTGCAGAAGCAGCCCTCGAGAAGTTAAATCACAAACTACATTGAGCAAATCTGATGAAAACAAACATTTTTTTGAAACGTATTCAAGAGCAAAATGTTACTTTGGAGGCTCAGGGACACCTGACTTAAGGCAGGGTACTTTCAATCGGCCCACATACATGTGAGGTCTGGACAGTGGATAAGGCTGGAGAGGGGCTGGAAAGGTGGTGTTGGTGAAGAACAGGGAATATACCACGGGCTGCAGGAGGAATTAACAAATCTGGGAAGAAATTAAGCCGGAATGCACCTTGGCGGTGAGTACGGTAATACTTCGTCTATGTCCTTTGGGATGCTATCTGGCAGGGCCGGTCCCTGGAGAAGGACATCATGCTTGGTCACGCAGAGGGTCAGTGAAAATGAGGAAGACAGGAGTGAGACGGATTATACAACAAGGGGTCTGGAGACGGAGGATGCATCAGGACAGGGCAGTGTGAACGCTGCTCTACACAGGGTCTCTACGAGTCAGACGTGTGAGGACAACCGCTGGAACAGGAGGCATCACTCTCGGTGTGTGCGTGGCTGGGAACATGCACAGGAGACCTTGATCATCCACTGGGCCCACGTGCCCCGTTTGCTCTCCACTGTAAATGCCTCTTCTTGGCTCGCATCAGCCAGGAAGTCACCTCCGTTACCGCCTTCCCCAAGGACGCAGTGGTCCTGCCCTTTCCTCACTGGACCACAGCGGGCGTGACACAGGCAGCCCCGTCCAGACCAGCTCGCTGCAGGCTTCGAGGCATGGGGATCGGCTGTTTGGATGACAATTTCCTCTGCAGGCAGCTAGTTGGAGGACCACTGTGCAACTTGCTCGATTTTCCTGGGGATGTCAGAAGCAGGATGGCCTGTCTACGTTCAGTGAGACACAGGGAACCCTCCAGGTGCAGGTGTTCACTGAGACGTTAGTGCGACCTGCTCTCCTCTGAAAGGAATTTCAACTGCGTGGACGTACATGAGGCTACCTGTGAAAAGTGACCTCTTTTTCTAGGTAACCTGAGATATCATTTACAATGACATTTTCTTCTGAGGCTTCAGCACCACTATCTGCAACTAAAAAGTTCTTGGCCCATGCCTTCAACTTCGTGAAGAAGCCTTTCTTTTTGCATGAGCCCCAGCATTCTCGTTTAGAAGCATGGTATTGGTGCTGCTTATGTGATAAATACAGAGCCGTGCTGGGACCATTCAAGCACTTTTCAGTTTAATTTGAATTTAGCTTTTGCACATGAAATAGTCATTCTTGATATTCCTTAAATTTTGAAAGTTCTCTGCTTTTTAAAAAAAACCTTGGAATGGAAAGGTCTTTTCTGAGAGATGACTTGAGTGCATTTGTTTTCATACTTTGAAGAAAGAAATTGTAACATTAAGAAGAACATTCATTGAGAGTCTATTTTCATAATGGACGAGTCAACTGTGACCATCAGCTGACTGGTCATCATTCTCTGGGCTCTTGAAGGCGGAGTCAACATTCCAGGCTCACTGTACGCAGCCCAGGTCCTGGGTGGGAGGGAGAGCAGCAGGAACAAAAGGAATGGAAAAAAACAGGTTCCTCTTATCCGAGGCCTCTGCGCTAACGGGCCTGGCCACTGTGGCCTGTAAGCGGGTTTTCATAAACGGCACCACTATGGGTTGAATTTGTGTCACCCTTCCCTCCCCAAACCCCCAAACAAACAAGCGTATACTTGAAAAAGAAGAGGGTCATTGAAAGACAGGAAGACGGTCAACAAGATGGACTGGCCTCTGGTCAGGCCACTTTCTCGGTCTCACACACAGGGACGGCGACAGTGGGCGTGGGCATGGCAGGGAGCGTGAGGGTAGGCAGCGTGGGTAAGATTTCCACCGTTGTTCTAATGGGACAACTGTGAGAGTCCATTCGATGGCCCCTAACAACAACAACCACAACAAAATACACGCCAGCGTGGCTGCTCCGTCAACCTCGGTGCTTTGGTGGTTTTCATGGACGGGACCGTCCCCATGTGATGGGAGCTGATGGGACCCATCCTGGTGATGTGATCAGCGGGGATGAAGGTGGGATGTGGCCCCACCCGTGGTGTGACGGAAAGGAGTTTCCCTGGAGTGTGGCCAGAATTACCTTTTCCGTAAAAGAAGTGAAAGGAGAGAAGAGCAAGCAGGGGAGGGCAGGGTGGTGAGCAGGATGGCAGGGCAGTGAGTGAAAAGGGCAGGGCAGTGAGAGGGACTGGACGGCAGGGCAGTGAGAGGGACTGGACGGCAGGGCAGTGAGAGGGACTGGACGGCAGGGCAGTGAGCAGGACAGCAGGGTGGTGAG